TTGAAGGTAGAGATACGGAAGGTGTTTGCTCCCGACAAATTGCTGAAGAATACATTGTCAAGTGTCGTTTTTAGGCAAACAATGATCGCTTCAGTATGCCTATCAACCGCAGAAGTTGCTTGAAGTTAAGCAACAGAAAATCAGAAAGTTTCTATTGTTATTTCTTTCTTGCATCATGTGGTATTTTTAACAAATTACAAGTTTAGATTATAGGAGGAACACAGATATTACGTAGTCCTGTATCGATCTGTTAGATGTTAATATAGCTAATACCTTGAACTGTAAACGACATATCACCTGAGCGAAAAAGCGGTTTTCAAAACTGGCCGTCCTATGAAATTTTGGGTGGCCAAATTTGGGTAACTATGGCTGTCAGAGCATTACTGGTGATACATTTGCGATATGCCGTATTAATGGTGCAACATTACTACATTAAGGCTATAAATGGAAACATCGTCCACGATAACAAAAACCAGAATTCTAAAAACCTTGCGACATATCCTGATAGCCTAATGCATCATTGCTGGAGTACATTTTCAAAATACATTTACGTAATTAAACGAAACCACTATTTCTGATCCAAGAATTTCTATCAGGAGTAAAAGGCAAGAATGTTTATGCGTGAGAGAGCATAAGGTTGTGACGACTTAAAAGTTTTGACTTTTTCACTTGTATAGGGTTTTGCAAGTAGAAATTTTTTTGTAAACGCACTTTTGTTTGCTTTGAAACAAATATTTCAGTAAGTGCTTAGTAATTTTATCATTTTTTAGTTTTGTTCCCATGAGACATCTTATCAAGTAACATACAAGAGATTTCAGATTTTATGAAATGCTGGTTTTAAGAACTTAGCAGAGCTACCGACTGATTTTTTTCTTCCCTACCTTCATCTTTTATCATTATTACACTATTGTTATAGAGAAGTTATGGCAGATTTCGCGGTTGATCTATTAAAACTCACACCAGCCGTAGAGAACATGGTAATGTCGCCGCTTTCTCTGATTGCCGCTTTGAGTGTTCTCGAAAGAGGCGCTGGTGGCTTGACAAAAAGC